TTGCAGATCAGAAATTGTGGATTCTTGAAGCCTATCTGTGGTAGCTTTAATGACTAAAGTTTAGCGACAGTTCCTTGCTCGCAATTGACTTTGCAAGGAAGGTTCAGGCGAATGTTGCACAACTGCATACTGCAGAAGCCAGCATGCAGTCTCTTTTTAATAGCGCTGCGTATTGGAGTCAAGTTCTGAAGGCTCTCACAGATGGCGAGTGTGCAAACGGAGTAGCAACAAGGGGTCAACTTGGAACCTAAAGATGTGGCCTTGTCCCTGGATTGGGGATACCCAAAATCCATTTAAATCCCATAAAATGGTCCTATTTTAGCCACGGAGAGGACTGGTTGCGGGTGCCAGGCAGCCATGGGACAGCTGTATGCAGTCCTATGCTTGCAGACCAAGGTGGGTTGCATTGTGGTTGAATGCTTTTGGAATTTTGTCCACACTTGGTGCATTGCATTTTGCTCTTATTTATCTTAAATTTGAATAACATTTGGTGTTGTGGTTGACATGAACACCTTTGAAAGAGAAAGAAGAAGAAATGGATCCATGGATGGATCATGATGGATCCTGTTTAGCGACGAATGAGACTGGCAGTGGTTTCATACGCCGTGTGTTATCCTGGCCAGGCCAAGTCGTTTCTGGCGACGAAGCAGCTGATTGGCTTGCGGCGAGCAAGGCGAGGTCCCCAAAACTTCTTGCACCGACACTAGTTTGATTTCATATGTTTGTGGACCATCAAGGTGTTGCTCTTCAATGATACTAGATTATAACATTCAATGACAGATTCAATGATATTAGATCAAGTTAATTTAAGTTTTTCAAAAAACATATTGTTGACCTAGCTTAATGTGATTAATATATGTTTTTGTGATTTTTGTGTATATATATATTAATATCAATATTAATATTTTATCGCTGGTTTCACATCTACTAACAATCAAACGATGATCACCTTGACAGGCCTTGTGGACGCAATCGGCCAAGCTCAGCGATGTATCAGGACCATCCGACAATCAATGGGAATTTTAATCAATAGGGGATAAGAATGATAATGAACTCAATGAAGCTTTTACAACAAAGACAAATCAATGGCCATTCTGAAAATTTCAGGAACCGATTGATTGGAGGTACCTACCATAAGGCCTATGCTTTAGGACTATGTAAGGGAATATCCCCAGAAAATATGGCCATATATGGTGTAGCTCCATTGATGGCTAAAAATCGATGATTTGGGGTACTTGAGTGTTCAACAAATTCTGGTTGGTTGACGATTAGTTTGGGGATTATATACTACCCAATATATTGGATTATAGGGGATAATAATGATAATACTAGCCAATAACCAATAAGGGATTATAGTACTCCAATAGGGGGATCCCGTTCTGAACCAACCAGTAGACTGGAATGACAGAGAGATTTTGAACAATGATCACATGGATATTTCATGGAAATTTCATGGATATTTCATGATTAACTATGATCACGCTGCATGGATATTTCATGATACGATATGATACTTCAGATGCAGTCCCAGTTCGATCAGATGCATTTGGATGAAATTTATTGCATTTTGATCATTTTTTATGATGGGCAGGAGGATTATTTGCCACCTGCAGGAGTCAAGTACCTATATGCCCTGTATGAACATTACTGTACTATCTTGAGATTTCTTGTGACCAATGCATCCGATTTCAACACATCCCAATCAGCCAGGAGTTAGAGATTGGTGTTTCGCAGGATGAAAACGCAATGGGTTGGACATGAGAGAGCATTGATAGGTTATTTTTTATCTACTGTTTGTGACCGTCGAAACTATGTTAACTGGTCGACCTTTGCTTCTGGTATAACTATTGAAGTTCGAATCATCGCCAATCTGCAGCAGAGGCCTCGCGCCCGCCGGCACACCGCCAGAGTCTGCCACAGGTGCGGCTGAGAGTCACTGGAAGCAGATACCAAAGTTGTGCAGCCGGGTCAATTCAAATATGGGCCGAAGAAATCCTTGCAGGCTTTTCCGCATGGCCTACAGGTTTGTACCTTTCGCCACAAGCTCAGCAAGACTGTGCAGTTGCTTGATGATTCCTCGACAACATACGACAACCAAAAATAAGTGGCCTCCAAGATTCAGTCCAGCCAGTGTTGACACTTTTTCAGCTACTGCATTTTGCCGCACTGCCTAGATGAGCTCGACGATGAAGCATCCACCGAAAGGCTTTGGAGTCCTAACATCGATTTGAGAAGTCTGCAGAACATTGCAGAACCATCGAAAATCATTGCAGAACTATGCAGAACTCGTTTACATGTGGAAACCAACCAGAATTGTACAGAATCCCAGCAAATGTGCTTTTGTTTTTCCCTCGCGGTTCTGAAATTTAACTCTCCATTATTCTAGTTGAGGATAGTTGAGGTAGCTGGTTCACATTGCAAACTTATCAATATCCATGTGATAACTTTAACTACACTATTGATTATCAAAATAATTATCCATAACTAGTCCATTCAACTATCCATTGTGATCAATTATCATCAATTATTCGCACATATCCATACTGCAAAGTTATCGAATTCATTGATGATATATAATTAATATGATTATGATACAATTTCAATTATTCCATACGATCAACTATTACGTATCACCAGCTATTGTCATCAACCGTTATAATGCGATCATCAACTATTACAGTAAGTATCATACTATCATCATCAATTATCAATGCCATTATCATACTATTCCATAATCATATATATATATATATATATTACAACCAATGATCAATGATGTTGATAGTATGTATATGGATTAGCATCACCCATACTATCCAGAATACTGTCATCATCAAGTATTCATGCCATTATCAACTATGAGTATCATACTACTATCCATACTATCATTTGAAAGTGGCAAGTCCATACTATCCATAGTACTATCCATATTATCATCATACTATCCATATTATCATCATCCACACATTATTTTCAATAGTATTATCATAGTGGCTGAATAGTACTATTATTATCATACTACGATCCATACTATCATTCTTATCATAGTATTATCCAACAATACTATCAATTATCATCAACTATTATCATCAATAATTATCATCAACTATTATCATCAATTATCAACTATTGTCATTAATTAATATGTTCAACTATTATCATCAATTATCAACTATTATCATCAGTTATCAACTACTATCATCAGTTAATATTATCAACTACTATAATCAATCACCAACTATTATCATCATTTTTTATTATCAACTAGTATCATCAAGTATCAAACGATTATCATCAATTATCAATTATTATCATCAATTATCAACTATTATCATCAATTATTATTATCAACTATTATCATCAATTATCAACTATTATCATTGATTATCAACTGTTATCATCAATTATCAACTATTATCATCGATTATTATTACCACTTATTATCATTAATTATTATTACCACTTATTATCATTAATTATTATTATCAACTATTATCAATTATCATCCATTATTATTCTTTCAACCTGTCCAAACTTCTCCCAGAAACTTCTCCAGGCGACGTTGGAGCGATGCACCGAAGGCGGTGCCGCTGCTGCCTTTGGGTGACCTGCAGGCAGAAGCACGGCTGGGGTCGGCACAGGGGATGGGTTGAGAAATGGTTGGTAAATGGTTGGTAAATGGATTGTAAATGTTGACAAAAGTCCTAATTCTTGACATCACCCAACCAAAAAGGAGAGATCATCTCGAACAGGTATTTTCAAGATTTTTCAAGTGATACCGACCCCTGCCATAGGGATATCCGGGATATCAATTTAATTTGGGCTAGACCGGAGAATACGATATGGATTTGCCTGAATATGAATATATATATATATATGTATATGCAAAATATATATGGGGAATACGGCTATCTAATCGGTACTGGGATGGTTCATCGTACTGCAGAGCCCATTGCTGACAAAACCCACGTTTCAACGGCTCGCAGATGATCACAGACTGGCTGTAGCTGTTCGTAAATGGAGGGTTCCTAAAATGGGGGTACCCCAAAATGATGGTTTATAGTGGAACATCTGGAACTTTTATTAACATTGATGATTTTGGGGTACCCCATTTTTGGAAACCACCAAATGAATGGTTGTCCATTCCTCTTTGGAGCAGATATGATGTGCAATTTGGACATAGAGAGTCAATGAAGGATGGTAAACCGAACCAGGGGAAAATAGTATGGATACCATTTTCCTCTGGGCATAAAATGTTGGCATTTACACACAAACATGTATTATATATATACACACATTATCACATTATATATACACATTATATATAAACTATGCCAAGGACTTCCAGTGTAGAGCGCCACGATGCCAGTTCAATCGGGGGAGACCATACACTGCTGGCAGCGAAGCTCTCGATCCAGAGGCTGGGGCATATCTGAAGATTTGGCGTTAGATCCACAATTTATTTTGCTGTGGGGGAGATCCAGATTTCAGGAAACCGCTCGGCCCAAAAGAACTTGCCGACCCGGTCCAACCTGGTACTTGTTGCAGGTTGTACCTGCTGAGCTTTCCAGCTACTGGTAACGAATGCAGAACGGGATGTCCTGCGAAGAGAAACTGCAATATGTTTTTGGGGGATGTTTGCCAATGGATGAAGATGCAGAGCTGGTAGGATATGTCTGTTCCGACCGCTTAGTTTTGTTCAAGAGCAGTTTGAGATACAGACAGAGATGCAAATGATTGGGACACAGTTGACAAAGACCATCAAAGACCATATAATATATAGTAAATTCTGTGTAACAGTACCTTGTGAGCATGTGTTGACATTTCGGACAGCAGCATAACAAAGCGATTAGTTAGTGTTTGCTGGTGTCAACTACTGATGACAAGTCGAGACGTACTTGCCCCAGCAGCCCCAGTACTTCCCCCCCAAAAGTCTTGATTCCGCTGCCACCAGTTTGCCGTTCAGACATGACAGCAGCAATGCGGCCTGCAACCGCTAAGTTCTGCAGAGCTTGTGGGTTTTCACCAGCAAGCGGCAGTGGTTGGGCGAATGACCAGAAATTCCAATGGTTTCCTACTATTCGGCCAAGGGTGCCAGCGCTCCAAGGCGCAGCCGGAGTGCATCAGTGCGTCGTAGTGATCCGGAGAATGTCCCGGTGACACCGATCTCTTACTATGAGAGAGAAAGTCGACGTCGAAACCGAGCACTGCGCGATGAATTACGTGGTGCAGAGGCCAGCGGATTGCTGGACTTAGCCGTTCAACGGGGACATTCCTGGGATACCATTGGCATTGCGACCGCTTTACACGCCCTGGCCATAAAAGTGCGAGATCAATCCACCTCATCCCAAGAGATTCTGAGGGATCAACGATGGCAGCGCCTTTGTTCCTTAAGCTTCGCACGCTTGGTGGAAGGTGAGGCACGAAACTTGGCCAATGTGGCCTGGTCTTTGGCCAATATTTTGGAGAGAGATATGCCGTTCCAAAGTCATTTAGCAGAGCTGGTGACTTGAATGAACTGATCTTTTCCTGGTCATTCCTGGTCAAAGATTTGCCTCGGTTTTTTCAAAATGGGTTTATGAGATGTTGGTTTTCCATGGTTTTCCATTCTACTATAATTTTAAACAATCAGCTAGTTTGACACAGTTTCGTTCTATAAATCGTGATTTTTTGTGAGTGCACTAGCCAAATCGGGGTTAGCCGAATTTAGCGCATAGCTTTAAGAAAAATCAACTGAGCTGTATGTCATGATGATGAACTCCGGGCCGAAGCATTTCTTGTGTGTTTCAGCCCCGGAAATTGTAAATATGCTCACAAGGTGATACAACGAGCAGAAGAGTTGAAGACTCAAGAGATCTCAAATCTGATGTGGTCTGCTGCAACTTTGCGGTTCCACCACGCTCCGATGATTTCGAGCCTATTGTCGGAATCCACCAAACAAATCGGCCCCTTGGCAGTTACAAGTGCTAGGGTTAAGTCGTATCAGCTTCTAAAAGTCGTATCGGGAGGCCGTGCGCCTGGAAAAAGTTCAAGTTTGGCATCATCACAACTTTTAGTAATTGAACGATTTCATTGTTTTAGGGCCGTGCGCCTGGAAAAAGTTCATTTTTGAGTATCGCGTTGATTTTTAAAGCTTATATTTGTTCATTCTTTCAAGGGGGCAAACGCTGGTTGCTGCTTGCTTGCTGCTTGCTTGCTGCTGCTTGCCTGCTGCTTGCTGCTGCTGCTGCTTGCTGCTCCTGCTGCTGCTGCTGCTGCTTGCCTCTGCTGCTTGCCTCTGCTGCTTGCCTCTGCTGCGTGCCTCTGCTGCTTGCCTCTGCTGCTTGCCTCTGCTGCTTGCCTCTGCTGCTTGCCTCTGCTGCTTGCCTCTGCTGCTTGCCTCTGCTGCTTGCCTCCGCTGCTGCTTGCTGCTTGCTTGCCTGCTTGCTTGCTGCTTGCCTGCTGCTTGCCTGCTGCTGCTGCTGCTGCTCCTGCTGCTGCTGCTGCTTGCTGCTGCTGCTTGCCTGCTGCTGCTTGCCTGCTGCTGCTTGCCTGCTGCTGCTTGCCTGCTGCTTGCCTGCTGCAGGAGGTACGGGCGGGAGACGCCAGCAGAGAGAGGGAATGTTTCTGGCTGGTTGGAATGAAACATTGCGGTCGTATAGCGCGGTTGTTTCGCTGCGCTCACCATCTGCACCATCTCGCACCATTTCGTAAGACGGCGCAAGCGGCAAGACGGCGCAAGCGGCAAGACGGCGCAAGACAGCGCAAGACGGAACAAACACAACAGATGGTGCAGCCGGAGCACCGACAAGACCTGCCACGCTTTTCGCCCGCAATGGAATGAACGTTTTATTCCAACTCGTAATCGCTGGGTGGATAGGACAACAAACTTTCTGAGAGCTGCCCACGACCTTGATGCACATCGCGCCAGCCATAGATTTGGCTGCGGAAAACAAGGAACCTCCATATCCTTATATCATGCTAGATCATAGCCCTGCCAATAGGATTTGCTACAGCTAACCCATTTGCATTGCAAGAAATTTGAGGCTGTACCAATAGGGGTTTGATGTGGTCGCGCGACGCAGGACATCAATATAATATTTTCAAACCCAATAGGAATAGCTTAGCTGCCGAGAATTTGTGTGTATTAACTTATTGTGCCCTTCAAAATCATCGCTGTGCGCAATGCTTCGGCTACTTGCAACTAAATCTCTAATTATAGATGAAACAGGCTGTGCCATGGTGATTCTTCTTCCCTGATGTGACTTTCCACTGCCTGATGTGACTTTCTGTATCGCCGCCGTGCCATGGGGATGATGCGACTTTTCCCGCATGATGTGACTTAAGCACGGCGCTCGTATCCCATTGGATCCATTTGGATCCCATAGGGTGCCAGGTGATCCCAGGCTTCATTTTGTGGCGACAACAGAGGTTCTCTTGTAGTTCCGCCTTTGGGGTTGTAAGTCTCCAGCATTTTGTGGCGATTTCACCCTGACCATTACCAACTCAGGATGTTTGATGAGGTGGAATTGGCTCATTTTTCCCGTATTTTTCTGCAAACTTTGATGCCTAGATACTAACATATACTAACTAAAGTCCATTGGTACCTTATAATTGGCAGGCAGTGCCCATGCTTGCTGGTTAAGTACAGATTTAGGTGGTTCACTCGCTGCTTCATGTATCCCACGTACTTGCAAGTTCAAATTGGTATATACCCCGCTTTTTGGTCGTCATGCTCATTATTGTCACTGAAATCACCACTTAATTGGTCATCCCCCGTGGTTGGTACTGCGCATCCCCTGGTCTTTGTCGAAAGACTCCTCTCATTTTGGTTGCTTCAAACCAATTTTTTTCTGGTGGTGCTTCATCATAGCCACAGCATATGGGTGTGTCTGAAAATGGGGCACGGGCACCAAGAATGGGCATTTCATGGGAATATCCATGGATTCTCCATGATTAATTATCAGATTTGGATTTGGTCCTACTATTTTCAGACCAACCCATAGTTGATCAATGTTCATCAGTTCACCATGGTTGATGAGGCCTTTTTTCATCCCAAGATGCTGCCAACACTCTCTGGGCCATTGCTTCGCTGGCGCTATCCAGGGAAAGCAGCGCCTTCTCTTCTTTGCTGGGGAGCGCACTGAGTCTCGGCCAAAGTGACAAAGAACCTTAAAGGAAGCTGGTCACAACTCTTCAACCGGGGAACATGATAGAAACTGATAGAACATGAGAAACCAGAGTTAACGATTAATGAGAATGGTTACGTACTGTTTTGAATCTTTTTGACTGTCAGCTAAGGGGAGCAGGAAATGAGTTCTGGTCATCTTCGAACCAGTGTCAGTGAAGAGTTGATTAAAGCAGAAATGGCCTAGCCACCAAAAAAAGGGGAACCTAGCAGGGCCTAGCACAAGCTTACATGGGAACACTTACTTATTTTACTTCGGATGGTTGGTGTGACATACTCTCGTTCTACATTCACAGAAATGATCTTGGGATCCCTTGGAATGTGATAGGGCTTTGCTTGTGTGGAAGGGTTTCCAAACAGTACCAATTGTCTGCAGTCCAAAGTAGGAACCATTATTCCTAACTTTTAATGATAAAAACAGGTGTTCCCTTTATTGTAGATTTTCCCTCAAGCCTTAAACTAATCCATTGAAGGTATACAGCAGGTATACAGCCTCATCCACAGCCAGGAATCACGTCAACGAGTTCAAGCCGCAGGAGTGTGCCAACAGCATTTGGGCCTTGGCCAATTTGGCTTTCAACGACACAGAGCTCATCAGAGGCATTGCTTTCCGTGCAGTCGAGATCCTCACGGAGTTCCGCAATCAAAACTTGTCCAATTTCATCTGGGCCTTCGCAAAGTTGGGTCACAAAGATGAAGAAACGACTGTCAAAGTTTTGGAGCTGTCTCGGGAGAGGCTTATGACATTTTCACCACAGGACCGAACCGAAGTTGCATTGCAGTTTGTTATGTCAATTTCAGAAGTGCTCGCGCTACCAAGATCAACTTTCGGGTTCCGGGTTTCATCGAAGTTTTTCGGGTAGATCATCCCATGCTTTTGGGGTGTCCCTTCCTGCAGGACCTGACAACAACAGTTTGGTCTTTGGCGACCATGGAGCATCGAGATGACGACTTCTTGAAGCTGGCTGTGATGGAGCTGCGCCAAAGAGCTCAACTGAAACCATTGCATCCGCAGCATATGTCCAACACATTTTGGTCCCTTGTTGCTTGGTTTTATCCAAAGATCAGCATAGCACTTTCTTTATCTCATACAATCTATACAATACTATAATATACTAGAGTACTAAGTATCTAATTTGAAGCCTCACAGGGAGCAGATTTGTGATGGCAACAGCATGGAAACATGCAGCTCAGCTGGTTGCATCCTCAGGCTGTTCTCAGCTACCCAGACACGCCCATGTTTGAGTTCCTGTGTGACTCAATGCGCTTTCGCATCAAGGAATTCAAGCCTCAGGAGATTGCGAATTTTATTTGGTCTATGGCCATAACTGGATATAAAAGTCCAGGTGCGCTGAGTTTCATGCTTCCTTGGGTGGAAGAGATCGTACATGAGTTTAGTTGCCAAAGCACTGCCAATTTTGTTTGGTCCTACGCCAAACTTGGACTGGATGATTTCAAAGTCATCCGTTTGATTGAAAGTGCTGCGACCAGAAAGTTGCACTCATTCTCTGAACAAGACTTGTCCACGACTCTGTGGGCTTTCGGTACCATGCTGCACCGCAATGATCACTTCTTAGAAGATTGGATAGAAGTGGTTTCCAAACATCTTCAACGTGCATCCTTGAAGCCTCAGCATGCCTCCAACATCCTGTGGGCCCTGGCATCAATGATCTTCTATGATGCTCCTTTTTACACTGCTCTTACCCATGGCATCCAAAAATCCATGAAAAGCTTCGCTCCCCAGGACCTGGCTTGTTCCATCTGGGCCTGTGCTACTGTGGTTCACCGCGACCCAAGCTTCACAGATCTGGTGGCTGACCAGGCGGCTGCCCAACTCAGGCAGTTTGATGCACAGAGCGTGGGAAATACGCTGTGGGGAGCGGCCTATTTGAAGACCTCAGTTGTGAAGTTGTATGATGCACTGAGACTTATGCTGGATGACTCCACTTTGTGCTGCTACAATGAGAAGGTGCTTGCCATGGTCACCAGGGCGTTGATGACTGAACCAGAAAAGGTTGAGGAGTCCTGGGAACTTTTCCAGCAGTTGCAGAGGCTTGATGTGAACCCTGGGATCAGCGCTCTCAGCTTGTACTTGCATCGCAGCCGCCACTTGCAGCCATCCCTTTAGCGGGAAATGCAAGTGATGTCGGTCCTTGCGCGGTTTCAACCCTGCAGATATGTACAGCAAGCCATTTTAAACGCAGCAGCCTTGCGCCTGGCTGAAGTGGGTTCCTTATCAGATGCAGTCCAACTATTGGAAGGTTTACTGGAGGTTGATGCAAGCAATGCAGTGGCGAAGCAATTGCGGGAAAAGTTGGCATTTGGGCATTTCAGGTCAGTGACGAGTAGCAGCTTAAATGTTCAGTGGAAGTTTCCATCGCGGACGCTGGGACACACAGGTCTTGACTATGACAAGCAGTGCAGATTGCTGGAACATGTGTTGTGTACTGCCCAGAGGGGTGATGCATGGTCAGTGGTGGATACGATCGAGCGATTCTCCGTGGAAGGAAATGGTTGGCTGAAAATTGCTGGTGGCGGTAAAGGAGTTGTCCTGGACGATCTTGTGAAGAAATTAGCACCACAACCAGCAGAACTGGTGCTAGAATTTGGTTGTTTTGTTGGCTACTCCAGCACACGTATGGCGTACTGGCTTCGACACAGTGGGGGCAGACTCCTGTCAGTGGAAGTGGACCCTATACATGTCTGTATTGCGAGATCCTTGCCTGAAACATGTGGCAAAGCACGTGTAATTTTCCTCTCTTTGAACTTTTTCTCTAATACTCCTGTGGCAATCTGCAAGCATTTTGCTAAAGCTCATTGGCAAGATATATATATATATTATATTATTATATATATGGTGATCGATCTAAAGGTCCTTGTAAGGAGTTTTAATTGCGAAAGCCGTGCATGTTATGTTGGAAACCCACGCGAAAGTTTTTTTTTCGAGTTCGCGAAAGTAACATGTTTTTTCACGGAAGTTTCAAAAGTTGGATATTATAATCATTATGTAAAGGGCTGCCACCCACTGCCGCCCGGGGTCCGGCAGGAGAAGGGCACTAGAGAATTTCGGTTTGGTTCTGGTTCAGTTCCCTGTGTGGTGGTGCTTGTGGACAATCACACCCTTCATAGGTAGCAGCCGAGCTTCCAAAGGCGAGGCTTCGCGCTGCCTAGTGATGCTTTTTGAAGTCTCAAGAAACAAGCTCCAAATGCAGTAGCCAAGTTTCCAAAAGTGAGGCTTTGCGAGAGCCAAACACCAAGGCCCCTGGTGTTCGCTTTTCCTTCAATGCACCCCCTGCTGATGGCCGGGGTCTGTGAATAGGGATATTTTCGCGAAAGTTCCGCGACAGTTATGCGAAAGAGTGGGCGAAAGTCAAAGTGCATGTTGAAGGGGGTGGGCCAGTAAACCTTGCCAAAAAAATCTAGTCAGCAACAATCTGCCCTGAGAAGGGATTCCGTGATGCTAGCTGCATGTTTAAAAGGCTATCCAGAAATATCAAGAAGTGATCCGTGATTCTCTGGCGTAATTTGGCAGGCGGTGAACGAATCTTCATAAGAGGTGTTGTTGGCCAACATGGGCCCCGCGAAAGATAAACATGGAGTTCGCGAAAGTTTCGCGAAAGTAATTTTTTTATTCGCGAAGAATGGCCGTTCCCGGATAAAGGAATTTTGATCAAAACCCAATATATACACATGTAAACAATAAGTGATAGCTCTTCAGTTCCGCGTTTCTGTTTTCTTTTGCACGGTCGCACCAGGAAATGTCCATGAGTTCGCGGGAGTAGCAGATGTGATAACAGTTTGTACAGGATATAGCGAAGATGTCATCCCGCATTTGAAGATGACTCTGGGTGCTCACGGTGCCCCCAGAGCCGCAGATGCCATATTTTTCGATCAGCGAGGTACTCGCTTTCACACAGACTTGTGGATGTTGGAAGGTGAAGGTCTACTGAAGGACGGCTGTGCTGTGCTTGCGGACAATGTGCTGAAGCCCGGCGCACCCCATTTCCTGTGGTATTTGCAGCACAGCCCCAAGTATGATTTGACAGTCGTCTCTTTGAGGGAGTTTGCTGCAGATCGAATTGAAGATTGGATGGCCCTGGGGATATACGACGCCTCAGCTGCGGATGTCATCGTACCGGCACCAAAGTCTTTGGACCGCGTGGCCTTTCTAACGGACAAGGCTCGGGCCAGGAGCTGCAACGCCGATGGTCCATGTGAAGTCGATGAGGATGCATGGGCTCGCCATGCACAAGAGATTCGACTGGCATATGATGAGGTGAAGATCCACCCACGAATTGCCCACATTTTGCAATCTCCAGGTGCTCCAGATAGCAAACCCTTTGTGGATTGGCCGGAGTCTTTGGGGAAAAACATGGAAAACCGATTCTGCTGTGCCTTTTCTGGCGTTTTGTATGGAGATTGCAAGAGATTGTAGGTTGTTGGACTAGCTCTTGTGGGGTAGATAGCCTTCAAATGGACTCATTCTGAACGTATTGATGGGCTATGATGGGCTCAAAGTATATACTTGGTACCTAGGGTACACCTGCTACCACTGTCCACTCCCGACCATTGTTGTGTCTGGAATCTCGACCAGTTTTTGCGGCAGGTTGGAGTTGTGGCGTGCGGCAGTGGAATTTCTGCCGTACGGGCAGGTTCAGCCGTCGCACTGGCATGATTGTCAAGTGACCCTTTCAATGTTCATGTATGTTCATGTTAGTATTGACAGATGTAGCTTCCTAGTTCGTCATTTCAAATCATGTCTTGAACCAAGGGTCAATGTATGCGTCGGAACAGGCAGACATTTTTTCCGGCAACGATTTCATGAACGTCCCCAGTATACATGTAGACCATTGTATACCTATGTAGACCTAATCACGAAGCCAATTTTCTTTTTAAGTTTACACCACCCACCAGACGGATCCATATTGGATGTATAATTAATCTATAATTATATTATATATATAATATGTAATTGATTGTCGATCTAAAGGTCCCTACAGAGATTGTCCATTACAAAAGCCACCAGGGTTCCAAGATGAGACCCTGCGAAAGTTTTGTCTGAGTTAACGAAAGTTTTTTGTTTTGGGCGAAAGATTTAGCAAATGATTTTAACATGAGACCCCAGCGAAAGATACACGTGGGGTTCACGAAAGATTCATTCGCAAAAGTAATGTGTTTATTCGCAAAGAATGGCCGTTTGCAGATTATGACAAAGGAATTAGGTCAACCGCCAATTCATGACTGTAATATTACAGTAATATTACTGCAATATTACTGTAATATTACTGTATATTTATACATTTATGTCGTTTTACTGCCACAAAATGCCATAAATGTATGTCCCTGCCATGTTTTGAGGTGAAGGGCAAGGGCCAATGTCGCCCCTCAAGCTCACCAGGTGCCATTGTTTGGGGTGAAGCTGATGGAAGGTGCTGTAAGTACTGAGAAAAACCCTTGAAACACTTTGGAAATTGATGGAACCTGATGGAAAATTCATGAAAACTATATGAAACATGATGGAAACTGATGGAAATCAAGATGACTTTTACCAACTTAATACATGATGTCTTGCATCAGCAGTACCTCAGCATGTTGGTCATTCAACATGGCATTAAGAATGATAGACTTTGCCACGAAGAATATCTTCTGCGGCCATTGGCCGGGTTTTGTTCACAAAAAGCGTCAATGTATGCATGTTGCATGGTCAATGACTCTGTTGGTTGAGCTAGAGACCCGGAAACGACATTGAATTTGAATCCCATGCCCGTGAATCATCTGACAATGATAAGTATGGACTTTGGAAGTAGGTCAATGTTCACCTTGGAATTCCTTGCGCAGGGACGTCCTTTTTACTCCCGGCAGGACTCTTTACCCAGAAACGGAGTGACCCCCCGGTGAAACCGTGGGGACCTCAGCCGCTCATGCTACTTCGAAGTTGTGAGGACGAACACCCAGGCAGACACCTAGATATATTGTGTCATTTTATGACATCATACATTTTGATACATGATATTTTCCCCTTTACATACTGTATCAAATGCGATATTTACATTGTACTTTACAGTACCATGCAAATATTATATATACACTGTATATAAATATAGATCATTGTAGTATTTTACAATTAATCGCAGGAAGTTTAGAAGTCAAACTTCCGACAATTTGGAGAGATGAAAAGCAGAGCAGGGAGGAGGCAGGGAGAAGAGAAAGATTAGAAGAAAGAAGAGTAGAAGAGAAAGAGTAAGAAGACAGAAGATGCAGATGCGCGAAAAGGTAGGAAAGTCGCGAAACACTGTGTTTTTCCAATGATTTGTGGCTCCGGAGGGTCGAAAAGTAGGTTCGCTAAAGCGGCCGGTGCAGAGCCAGCTGGCCAGAGGAGAGATGAAAAATTGCACGCCGTTGCGGCGCGGAGCACATTTCGAAGTCAAAATGTACAAAACACACCAGCGTCGGACCACTTTTGGAAGTTGAGATGTCGAAAAAGTGCACGCCGTTGTGGCGCGAAGCACATTTCGAAGTCAAAATGTAGAAAGCACACCAGGTCCGGACCACTTTTGGAAGTTGAGATGTCGAAAAAGTGCACGCCGTTGTGGCGCGACACACATTTCGAAGTCAAAATGTACAAAGCACACCAGGTTCGGACCACTTTTGGAAGTTGAGATGTCGAAAAAGCGCACGCTGTTGTGGCGCGAAGCACATTTCGAAGTGAAAATGTACAAAACACTACATGTTCGCGCCACTTTTGGAAGTTCAGATGTCGAAAAAGTGCACGCCGTTGTGGCGCGAAGCACATTTCGAAGTGAAAATGTACAAAACACTAGGGGTTCGGACCACTTTTGGAGGTTCAGATGTCGCTTCGCCGCTTCGCTTCACTACACTACACTACGTTACATTACACCACACTCCACTATACTACACTACATTACACTACACTACGCTCCACAACACTACAACTACAACTACACAACTAGACTACACTCCACTACACTCCACTACATTAAATTTCACTACATTACATTTCACTACACTACGCTCCACTACACTACACTACATTAAATTACACTACACTCCACTACACTACATTACACTACACTACGCTCCACAACACTACAACTACAACTACACAACTACAACTACACACTACACTTACACTACACTCCACTACACTCCACATACACTACTACACTTACACAACTACACTACACTACATTACCCTACACTACACTCCACTACACTACACTACATTACACTACACTACACTACATTACACTACACTACATTACACTACACTACACTACAACTACAGCTACGACTACACTCCACTACACTACACTACATTACACTACACTACAATACACTGAATGACACTGCACCACAGATAGACAGGTAGACAGATAGACAGATAGACAGATAGACAGATAGACAGATAGACAGATAGATAGATAGATAGCTAGATAGATAGATAGATAGATAGTTAGACAGGTAGACAGCTAGACAGCTAGACAGATAGACAGATGAAAGAGAGAGAGATAGATCGATAGATAGATAGATAGATAGGGTAATTAGATGAAAGAAAGAGAGAGATATAGATAGATAGATCGATAGATCGATAGATCGATAGATCGATAGATCGATAGATAGATCGATAGATAGATCGATAGATAGATAGATACATAGAAAATAGATAGGTAGGTAGGTAGATAGTCAGAGAAAGAGATAGAAAGAGTGAGAGAGATCAAGCACCTTTCGGTCCATCAGTGGCTTCGCTCTGCCATCCCTGATTCACAACAACCAACCTCTCCTATAGGTTTCCTATTTTTGAAACTTCCGCCACCGCCTTGTGCGGTACTACTGGTACCATGATAATCCCTTATAGATATTGAGTTGTCCAATTTAAACAAGGGGGGTAAAGACATGTTTACTACTTCCAAAAACAATTTTTCCAGCTACGTACCAACCACTGCTATACTAACTACTTGCTAACCACTTACTAGCTACTTCCAGTTTTGCTAACTACCCTCTGGTATCTAACATAATCATAGCCATGACAAAATGGTTCATTTGTCGATGATTGACCTGTTGACATATTTAAGCATGGTGATTTACCATAGCAAACTGTCAAATTACCAGAGGGTAACCATCAAAGAATCAACCATGGCGCCATAGAAAATTCCCCAATGTTGATTTTCTCAGCTATAAACCTCCATAGTTGATGTTCCAACATGTTCCAACTATCCAGCTACTTCCAGAGGGCAACTGGTCACGGTCGTGAAATCTCCCTGCAGGTTGCGGCGTGCAATGTCCGCAGGTGGAGCCGCGGCTTCTCGGACACGAGCGACATCGGCATGCAGAAGCAGGTGACCCTCGGAACGTTCCTGGAAACTCATCATTCCCTGGGATAGGACAATAGGGTACATGCATGGAAAATCATGTGAGATAATGATAAATGTCAATCATTTCAGCCGTTGGTAAGGTACCCAAATGGGGGCTGATTCGGAATTTTGGGCCAGCGTTCAACCAATCCAATCCATCTCCACACAGAAATCTAATGACCTCTGAATTTGTTCTTCAAGTGCAAGAGCACATGAGGTGTCATGCCCCTTGAAGTCACACCTCGGGTCCATGTGGGCGGACTGTACCAAGCCCAACTTGGTTTGATGCCCAAAGTTGGCAGGCCTCAAAGCCATTCTAGAAAGGGCCGCTGCGGAAATCCGGAGGGATTTGTCCCACAAGCAGAGCTGTGGTTGATCAAAAACCGTGCATTGGCCTCGCATGGAGCTCAGCATGGGCTTCGTCATTGGGGCAAGGCCCAGCGCCCAGCAGCTGAGGATGATGTGGCCACCCCTGTCAGAAGCAGTTTGGGCCTTGAGACTGTTGAATCCAAGAAGAGTGTGAGTTGGAACCCGCCTAGGACAGGTGGTTTTGTTTGCAGGGAGACTGAAGTTGCAACAAATATCACGTAAATTACGTACCCTCTGGTAAACTAACATAACTATGGAAAATCACCATTTTCAATGGGAAAATCCACTATAAATGGTGATTTTCCATAGCTATGTTAGTCATTACCAGAGGGTATATTTGCCAGTCACAGAAAATCATGCAAATCTTGCAGAGGTGATTCTTGGGGTCGCCAAGTTTGCGCGATAGAAAAATATGCAACTTATATCAACTCATCCAACGAAGTCACTGCTTAGGCCAGAGGACATCGGCCCAAAACGAAGACGGCATGTGGAGAACCCAATTTTTCTCGGAAGTGTTTTAATGATTTTTTTTTAATGTATATACTGTATATATATATGATTATATATGTATATTTGTTTTAAAAAATACAACCAGACCGGACATTACACAACACGGAGAATTACCAAGATCTGTTTCTTTGGTGTTGATGGCATCCGACATGTTGAAACGGACGCTAATATGCCAACTGCTACAGTATTTCGTTTGGACTTGATGAATGTGATTTTGTTTGGTGTCACCATTTATACCACTTCATGTTGCTGTTATATTTGCTGTTGAGCTTATGTACAATGACTTCATTTGTGCTGGAATCTGAGGCGTGCGTTGTTTGCCAGATCCTACTCCTCAACCACAAGGCTGGATGTCCTTGAATCCCTCGATGATACTCTGCACGCAATCCAGGGCCAGAATCAGACCACAGGTCTGTGAGCACAGGTTTGTTGTGGCTTCCCAAAGTACTCGGAAGTATATAACTGCTTAGGGAACTGATGCCATTTCTAGGCAATTGTTGAGCTCCCCCATTTGACATTATTTCGTGTTGAAGTCATGGAGAATCCCTGAGGTTTTTGAAAGTCCCGCTGCCTCTGGTGTCTCAAGGACAAGGTTGCAGCGCTTGAATTCAGGATTTTAAATTAAGACATTGCAGAGTCAATTTCAAGCGCATTGCCCAAGACGGGCTCTGCAAATGCCATAGAAGCTCTTGTCCCTGTTGACGGACCCCACCATTTTTCTTGGGGTGTTCAAAGATGTTCAAAGGATTCCAAAGGTACTGGAGAAGGGAAAACAGGACAAGATGTTTCCGTAGTTTTAGGCTATTGCCCTGGGTCCTGAGCTGTAAAGCTGCAGCTGAACCACCGTGGCATTCTGTAAGATCAAATACGTTGGGAACAGGAACGGGCGGGTGAACCAGGCACAGGATGGTACAGGTACTTAAGACCTACGCAGGGCTCAAAAAAAGATATGAGCAGTTTTTGGGACTTGACCCGTGTTCAAACTTGCTTTCGAGAGGGTATGTGTTTTGTTTTCATTGCCAAATATATCCAAATACCTCTTCCTAGAGCATTGGTTGAGTCAACGGTTGAGTCAACAGTTGAGTCAAGGGTTGAGTCAACAGTTGAGTCAACGTTTGAGTCAACCATTGAGCCCATGGTTGCTCAGGAACTCGGTTCTCAGCATTTCTCAACTCTTTGACCTGAGTAAGTTTTGGGTGACTTCATGAGCAGTGGGGGGAAAGGATATTTCTCATGGAGAACTCAGACACTTGAACCTGGAACTGGCTGAGAAACCCTGCATGAAGTGATGATATTCAACCTGGGCGTGGCTGATTTGATGTATAATATATATGTATATATATATTATAATATAATTTTATTACGTTACACATATTATACTGTATAATATACTAAGTGTATACTGTTTATACATGGTTATTATATCAATAATCCATTTCAAGTGTGCGTGTTGTTTTTTGGTTCTGATCCCACTCACTTAGATTAATCACCGTCAAGTTGAGCGCCATCGACCAGCTCATCAGCACCTAGGATTTGGGTTCCCAAACATGTTTGTTGATGTTGTCATGTGGAGGGGTGAACTGTCCAGTGGTTGGAGCCTAGGAGCTATGGGAATAGTAAATGAGATCGGGAGCCAAGGAGTTAGAGTTTCCCAACTATCATAGTGAAACACAATCCAAACTTCTTCAGTTCTGTGTCAATGCGATCTCCAAGTGCTTGGCTCTTGAGCTTGAGAAGATTGTCCAAGACCAACAGGCGCAGTTGACGCATCAGAAGGTGTAATCCATGTTCCTTTTCCAAAGTAAAGCTTTAGAAGACCTGTCCAGAACCTTCAATATCGAGATCCTGACATTTTTTGTGCTCCTTGCATGTTTCCGCAATCTTCTGATGCAAGTTTCGCCCGAATTGAAGGAACAAAGCCCATACGAGCACAGAAACCTCAAGTAGTTTCAACTTGAAAGCGACACCTCAAAAACACTTTCAAATCCAGGATGCTCACTGAATGTACCTGTATAATTAATATTAATTAATTGTCTATAATTATCTATAATTCCTGAATTATACATATGTGGCACAATATGGCAATTTTGGCCCGCCTCCAAACATGATCCCTTTCAATAATCTAAGTCCATCGATTTGCGAAGCATTTCAACGACTGCACGATCTCACCGATGCGTGTGAGAGCACTCTGCAAAAGATGTCGTCGTTTCCTCAACGCGACACCTGTCGCACGCTCGCTGGGGACGCTGACGCCAGTCCAGACTGGAGCAGCACCACGCCGGGATGCACAACAGCAACGGTTGAAGGCGTGGTGGTCGGGGATTGCTGGTATTCAAAATCTACCTCCGGTCTCATACATAATATAATATCCATCACTAACCACCATCCACACCAGGGGAATATTTTGCCTATCGGGATAAACCTCTTTGGGATCATCTGGGTGTCTGGGGAGGGGCAGAATCTGCAGCGATTTGCAGAGATTTCAATCACTGTTTCTTGGAAATAAGTTGAGCATATGCGAAATGAAGGCAGTAAGATAGTCATGGTCGTGGATTCCACTCAAGGGTGGGTGTGACTAGGCCCTATTAGTAAGTGCAACCTGTGCAACCTGAATCGGAATCTTCTCAGACGCCCAGCCAGAAGCGGACTTTGCAAATTGGCGATTTCGGAAAGCAGCAGCAGTGGGAGATGGCCCTTGGAGTGATGCGCAGGATGCGTCAAGAGTTTCTTCGCCGACACAGCAACCAAACCCTTCCTTTTGGTTTTGGCTAGTAGATCTAATTAAGGGCATCGCATGCCAATGACAAAGGATATAGGAGGATATGGGAGGTATTTAAGGATATTTAAGGCATGCAAGCTCTGGCAGAGCATAGTTGAACACCATGAGTAAGGCAGGATTGCTGAATACATGTGTTTAACTTTCATTCATTGATTGCACACAGTGTTTTGCCGCTTTTCTGAAGTGTTCAGTGATGACATCCTGACTCATGAAGTGTCTACCTTTTCGCACTGGGTCCCAACATGTCCCAACCCTTGGAATGGAAGTGAGGCTCCTACAGCCCAGCATTTTCACATTTAGCGCTTTGGCCACGGTGTCTCGCACGCAGCAGCGGATTTTTTCATAGTGTTTGCCGATCCACAGGAGATTTTTTTCTGTACCATGAACACAAAATGCTGTGCGATATGTTCAAATATGTTGTAACATATCATATCATAAGAACATAACATCATGGAATATCATGGATTTTCCCTCATAAATCAATATATGATAATATATGCATCCTAGCCTGAACATATCCCCTCTATCATACCTCAATGCGTCGATCTCCAAGGCCTGCTCAAGGGGGAATCAATGGGAACCACCTCTGCAGCTGCTCTCAGAAATGCAACGAGACTTGAAATGAACAGTGAGGGATGGCAAGTTCTTGCCCAAAATCTGGGTCTATTTATTTGACACATTTTGACACCATCCTGGGTTTAGGTTTCAACTTGTTTGGAAACACCAACTGATGCGTTGTATCGCCATTGGTGCTTCCGAGCTTGTTTCCCAAATCCCATGCGAAGCGCTAGTGAGACGTAGCGCCGCGCTGCTAACTGTATAATTTCAAAGAACTGCACGCATCATTTCGGCCTCCATCAACCAGAGAGCTTTTGCACTGAAATCCACCAGTTTTCTACACACATGCCAGGATGACTTTGTCCCAGTGTCAATTGTTTTTTTCTTTTCAAGCAACACTCCTGAGATGTGCATTTTTTTTGTTGGTAAAACAATGCTTTGCAGATGTCTCCTGCAGATTTTCCTTCAAATCAACAGCACCGGTTCAGGAGAGATAGTTCATCCAGATGCCCATTTCTTCAGCACCCTTATCTCCGCTTGTGCCATGGGTCAGGCCTTTGGGAACCATGACAGTGTCAGGTTGATGTCACATACTGTGGTAGATGCAGTAAAACATATCCTACAAAATTTTGCAGATTGTGACATACATTTTGTATAATATATATATATATTATACGTGGTGTCTATTTATATATATATAGTATCTATACCAATTTGATATATATATATATAAATGATATTATATATATATAGCATAGATTATATATGGTGTGCATATATATATATATATATGTGTGTGTACAGATAGAATGCATTGGAATACATGACAGTATGACATAATCCGCCAGGAATGGGAGCGATCCTTGAAACTCTTCGAAGAACTCCAGGTTGGATGAAGATTGGAACCATGGGTTTGATGCGTCCCAGGCGATGAAACCATGAACAATGTGTATATGTACATACATATATATATATGTGTGTATATAACTACACTAATTATACTATGATAATCTTTTATCATTATAATTGCTGTACCACTAGTACCGCACAAGGCGGCGGCGGAAGTTTCAAAAATAGGAAACCTATAGGAGAGCTTGGTTGTTGTGAATCACGGATGGCAGAGCGAAGCCACTGATGGATCGAAAGGTGATTGATGTCTCCTCTCTTTCTCTCTCTTTTTCTCTCTTTCTCTGATTACCCACCTACCTACCTACCTACCTACCGATCTATCTATCTATCTATCTTTCTTTCTTTCTTTCTTTCTCTCTATCTATCTATCTATCTATCTCTCTCTCTCTCATCTGTCTATCTATCTAACTATCTGTGTATCTATCCATCTGTCTATCTACTATCTATCTATCTACATATATATATCTCTCTCTCTCTCTCTCTCTCTGTCTGCCTGTCTGTCTATCTATATATCTATCTAGCTAGCTAGCTAGCTAGCTACCTAGCTGTCTATCTATCCATGTATCTATCTAGCTAGCTATCTATCTGTCTAGCTATCTATCTATCTCATCTGTCTATCTGTCTATCTGACTATGTATCTATCTATCTACCTATTTACCTATCTACCTACCTATCTACCTATCTATGTCTATCTATCGATCGATCGATCTATCGATCTATCTATCTGTCTGTCTATCTATCTATTTCTCTCTCTCTCTCTCTGTCTGTCTGTCTGTCTGTCTACCAGTCTATCTGTAAGCTTGAAAACCTAGCTATTCTGCGAGACGTCCTCAAGTTTTGAACTTGACAGCATCAAAAACGCAGCAATTCTGCGTGAGCGTCTGAGTGAAGGGTTCTTCTAATAGTGGGGGTCTGTGATAACATCTTCAAATCTTCACATCTTCTCATCCACATCTTCTCATCTTCACATCTTCTCATCGTTCATATTCACATCTTCTCATCTTCGCATCTTCTCATCTGCACATCTTCTCATCTTCACATCTTCTTATCTTCACATCTGTTCATCTTCACATCTTCTCATCTTTACATCTTCTCATCCTCACATCTTCTCATCTTCACATCCTCACATCTTCTCATCTTCACATCTGCTCATCTTCTCAACTTCTCATCCTCACATCTTCTCATCTTCACATCCTCACATCTTCAGATTCTCCCTTGCCCACTTGCTCTCTTGCCCTCATGCTCTCTTGCCCTCTTGCTCTCTCCTTCTTTTCTATTTCTCTCTTGAAGGCGCGGGGCAGTACCAACGAGACGGCACGAAACGCAACCCTTTCGCACGAAATGAGGTTCGATCGGCAAAAACTGAGGTAAAATTGCTATTTCACGGGTCCGGTCTTTGTGTGTGAAAGTGTTTGTGTGTAAAAGCTTCTGTGTGTGAAAGCTTCTGTGTGTAAAAGCCTCTGTGTGTGAAAGCTTCTGTGTGTAAAAGCCTCTGTGTGTGAAAGTGTTTGTGTGTAAAAGCTTCTGTGTGTAAAAGCATCTGTGTGTAAAAGCGTCTGTGTGTCAAAGCTTCTGTGTGTAAAAGCGTTTGAGTGTTTGTGTGTCAAAGTGTCTGTGTGTAAAAGGGTCTGTGTGTAAACGCGTCTGTGTGGAAAAGTCTGTGTGTGTAAATCAGACTTGGGGTGACAATCAGACTTGGGTTTCGAGATTTGAGTAGGAACAACTCAGACATGGCATTTCCACGTAGCCGGTTTGAAATCAATGTTTTCCATTTGAAGTTCATTCGATGCCAGGTTGTGGAGCCCTGACACCGCGGAATGTTTCGATGTCAAAATGATTGCAAAAAGTATGTTCGTGACGTTTTGTAGTTGAAGCTGAGAGTCGAGACACTTGTTGAGACTTGTTGTAGTGCATCGCCAGAATTGATTGAGACTTTGTCGTCAATTTCGTCGACAGTGAATAAAGCTGCTGATCGCACACTTGCCCATGTGACAACATGAGGCTGCACGTTCTTGCTCACATGTGGATTGCTGAGGTGGCCACGACAACGATGACTCCGCCGTGAGTGAGTGTGTGTGTGTGTGTCCTGGTGTCTGTCTGCGTGTCTGTTTGTGCGTCCCATGTCTGTCTCTTTGTGTGCGTGTATGTCTGTGCCTGTGTGTGTGTGCGTGTATGTGCCTTCCTCTTTGTGTGCGTGTGTGTGTCTGTGCCTGTGTGTGTGTGTGCGTGTGTATGTGTCTTCCTCTTTGTGTTCTGTTTGTGTGTGTGTGTGCGGGTGGTATCTTTGTTTGTGTATCTGTGTGTGTGTATGTGTTCCTTTGCTGTCTGTCTCTGTCGGTCTCTCAAATTTTGTATTTATCTTTGTCTACTTGTGCTTAGAATCTGACATTGTATTTCTATCTCCTTTCTGCTGATCATCTGCATCATCTTCAATGAAGCTTTCACATACAATGTCTTTGATACTACTTACAAGAGAGTAACATGCTCTTCTACGCTCTTCGCTCTTCTGAGTGTAAACGCGTCTGTGTGTAAACGCGTCTGTGTGCAAAAGCGTCTGTGTGTAAAAGCGTCTGTGTGTAAAAGCGCCTGTGTGTAAAAGCGTCTGTGTGTAAAAGCGTCTGTGTGTAAAAGTCTCTGTGTGCCAAAGCGTCTGTTTGTAAAAAGTTCTGTGTGTGAAAAACTATACGAAATTTACGATGCAAACTATGGGCTTGTGTTTGTGATATATTGTCTTGATACTATTCTTCTCGTCTGCCTGTAATACATCTTTAATATATTGTCTTGTAATATAGTGTCTCCACACTAACAACAGAAGACTCTGCTCCTCTACGCTCTCGGGCCATCCGTCGTCTAGTTTTTCAAAGTTGACAACATCAAAAACGAAGCAATTCCGCGAGACGTCCTCATTTTTCGAAGTTGACCACATGAAAAACGAAGCAATTCTGCGAGACTTCTTCATTTTTTGAACTTGACAACATCCAAAACGAAGCAATTCTACGAGACTTCTTCAGTTTTTGAACTTGACAACATCAAAAACCAAGCAATTCTGCGAGACTTCCTTCAAAAGTGGAAAATTGAGTGCAGAGCTGACGGCCTCGTACCAATGCGTTTTGCGATTTTTCCACTCCACCTGTCTAAAGTACTGCGCCTGCCACGAAAAATTGATGCCAGGTCATACGAAGTGCTGCACCTGTCACGCAAAATCATCTCAGCAAACCTGAAGATCTCATGCTCCAAAATGCAACCCCTCTCAGGAAATCAGCGCCCTGACCTCCTAACATCTCCGATGAACATATCTTTTGTACTGCGCCTGCCACGCGAAATGCATCTTTGAAGATCCTCTTCAAATGCCCCACGCCTGCCATCGGTTTTGGAAATGCTACAAAACCCTCACGTTTTGCTCACTTTTGACAAGGTGCACAATCCCTTGCGCCTGCCACGCGAAACGAGCTCTGAATGTCCAAAAGTGGTCCGTTGGTGTGATCGCAATTTCAAAAGTGGCCCGAACCTGGTGTGTTTTGTACATTTTGACTTCGAAATGTGCGTCGCGCCACAACGGCGTGCACTTTTTCGACATCTCAACTTCCAAAAGTGGTCCGGACCTGGTGTGCTTTGTACATTTTGACTTCAAAATGTGCTTCGCGCCACAACGGCGTGCAATTTTTCATCTCTCATCTGGCCAGATGGCTCCACACCCGCCGCTTCAGCGAGCCTACCTTTTTCGACCCTCCGGAGCCACAAATCATTGGAAAAACACAGTGTTTCGCGACTTTCCTACCTTTTCGCGCATCTGCAGCTGCTTTCTTCTGGCTCTTTCTCTTCTCTGATCTTCTCTCTTCTACTCTTCTCTTCTCTCTGACTCTTCCCATCTCTGCTTTTCATCTGTCCATATTGTCGGAAGTTTGATTTCTAAACTTCCTTCGATGATCTATTAAACTTTGCATGATTTTGCATGCTCTACAGTCTCTGTGTGGATTGTTTTGCCACTTGTGTTTTTAAGAGTTAGGGCTAGAGGCTGACAGTCTTTGGCAGGAGTACAGGCTTCAACCGAACCTGGTCACATACAATGCTACCATGAATGCTTGCTCCAAAGGACAGGTGGGACATGAGCATACATGGCGTTTGGTGTCACCCTCTTCACACCTGCGTGATCCTGCATGTTTTCGCTGACTATATAGAATCCCTGCATGTATCGCCGCAAGACAGACATCTTGAAACAATTGCCTGCACCTTTATAGATAGGATCTAATAGGCAAGGTTCGTAATGCTAGTAGCACCCATTCAAAGCGTCAAGGATGTTTGACTTCTTCCTGCGGCGAACATATTACTAATATTTACTAATCAAAATTCTGCCTTTTTGAGCGACCAAGAAACAACTTGGGCAGGATGGCAGTGGCAAGGTGTCTTGTCGCTCTTTAGCGACTTGCTTGTTTCAAACACTCGGCCCGATGGCATGAGCTTCGCAACTTGTATCACTGCCAATGGTAATGCCTCCTTTTGGGAGCGTTCCTTGGAACTTTTTCATGAGATGCAAAGGAAACTGAGAGCCGATGTGGTGAGTTTCAGCTCGATCATCAATGCCTGTGTCTTGGATGTTGAAAACATAGTTTATAAGTTTTTCCTTTTGAAAAAAATTTAAAGGTACTGGTGCTGTTCAACTATTGAATAGTATGAACAATGCTCACAAGACTTGCCCAACACCAATCTCAGGCGGCGTGGGCAGTGCATGGCAGATGTCCCTGAAGTTCCTGGCCCATTTGAGGGTCTATGACCTTCGGCCCAACGTGGCAACCTATGGGGCGGCCATCGCTGCTGTGGAGCGTGGAAGCCAATGGTCACAGGCCCTGGCCCTTCTGAAGCAGATGGAACGGGATCAATGTCATCCCAACACCATCAGCCTTGGCGCATCACTGGTGGCGTTGCAGAGAGGACTTCGATGGCAACACGCGATGAATTTGATGCATTACTATGGACTTGAGGACGAAACTTCAAAGGACTTGCAAAGTGGGAACCTCAGATAAACTGATGTTTAATAAAGGACGTGGGAGGATGAAACAGAAGGCGAATCACAAGGCACACCAGAAGGCACACCAGAAAGCACAGCTGGACTAAGTGACTAGAGAAGTAACTCAAGGCGATCTCAACAGGATGGTTCCATGCAAGCATTGTTCTCGGGAATTTGTCCTGGGTTTGGGGCCTCCACATACCCATCTTTGGACGTTGGACATGGGACACTGGGCACAGTCAGTTGAGGTTCTCCGAGAGCGCAGAACAGCCCTCAGTTTCAGATGGGAAGAGGGTGGCACTCCATTGATTCATGAAAAGAAAAAGGGTGGAAAAACCAAAGATGTACGGTGAGTACAGGAGAATCATGGAAGTTCATGTTCATTTATCTTCACAGCCGGTTCTCCAGCTTGGAAAATTTGCAAAAACATGTGAGCTGATTGGCTGCTGTTGCAGATCCTCTACATGTTTTCCTCATTTGACTTTCCTAGGAAGAGCTGTGTTCCTCGGGATAACGAGTCTGTGAAGGCAGGGCAGTATAGCATCATGATATAGCATGGTTTCAATATGTTTCAATTGTTTTTCGTTTTCTGCAAACTACTTGGGATGACTTCTGCGATTGATTTTTATCAGTAGCTTTGACTGGGTTGGAAGTGAGCCAACTAGTAACCAGTGAATGCTTACTTGAAGTATTCGTCGCATGTCGCGACAAGCATCGAAAGGGAATTGAGGATGGAACAAGTATACTTTGAAGATCTTTGAGGACTTTTTGCATATCATGATCTGGGGGTTTCCTAAAATAGGGCTACCCCCAAATCATCCATTTTAGTGGGAGTTTCCCTCAAAAACCATCCATCTATTGGGTATCCCCTATGGAAACCCCATCTGTCTTTATGGAGAAAGTCCTGGGCGAAAGGACCCATCCAGAGATGCGTTGCCAGGACGGGAAGGCAAAGGTTTCTCCCAAGGGGATTTACGAAATTTACGAAGCAAAGGTCGGTGTGGTGCCTCCAAAACTACTATAATATTATTATGGATTATTATGGATTATTATGGTATGAAATATAGATACTATAAGCACTGTAATCACTCTAATACTACAATCACTATAATCCCAATCACTCTAATATACACTCATTTGAAATCGCTTGATTGTCGAGACCGGGGAGACCGATGTTTCCGAGCGTTGAGCGCTGTCAGACCGGGTCACTTTGAAGTGCCATGGGAGGAAATGATTGGAACGCAAAACGGATGAAAGCAAAGTTGTTGAACAGCACAGCTGCAATCAAGGCCTGTGATGCTGTGCTTTGTTGATGTTCAAGGGAAACGTGATTCTCTTTGACTTGAGAAGAATGCACTGTGTATATATATATATGTATGAGCTACAGCCAAAATTTCGGGTAATGGAGAGTAGTATTCGAGATATCTTTATTTTTTGGAAATTGATCTGGGGCTTGGAAAACGATAATACACTCTTCAAAAATTGATGACTTGGAGCTATATAGCAAATATTGACCGTGGATATAACTATATATATATGCTTGACATCATGATAGAAGACATAGATAAACACATATACAGATTGAGCGCACGTTTTTGCCAATTATTCATCATTTCTTGGATGTAAATGTACATTAAATCATTCAGTCAATTCAGTGCTGGCACTACTTATGCCTGAGGCACATCTTGACATGTCAGATTGGGCCTTGACCTGAGTGAATCATCAGTTTTTGGCTGCACCATGGAGAAATGATGAGAAATGGGTGGGTATAGCATGGTTTTTGGCGGCATAGAATAGCAAAAAGCAGACAGACCTTGTGAAAACTTGCTGCTCCCGGAGAAATTCTGAGGCAAATGCCCTGAGACTTTTTTCGGAGATGCGGGACAGCGCCGTCCCGTGATCAGCTTATCACTGTCCCAGGAAGAAGGTGATCTTTCTGGAAGCACAGAAAATTGACAGGCTTATCCCGGAAGGGGCCCCCTACAAGTAGTTATAAGTTGGTTCATAACCCAATCAAACTATAGATATGCCACAAATCCTGGTTTTTCTATTTATAAACCAACTTGGCTAACGAAAGGGGCCCCTTCCTGTGGGACTGAAACCAATAGGCTGCCTCCCAGGCCAGATGGTATCGCCTATTCGCTGGCGATCAGAGCCAGTGGCTGGCAACTCAGCAGTTATAGTTGATTTTCCCAGCTATACATACCCATTTAAGGGAGTTTCAATATGTTTCAATTGCCATGTTTGATTACAGGAGGGTATATAATAAACCTTGTGAGGGTTTGGGAGCCAGGAGTTTTCCTCAGCCCGGAACCCCAACAAAATTACTTGATGGGTTGACATGAAGTTTGACTGGTTTTGTCTGAAAATGCAGTATACCCCACCCAGTTACGGCCATTTCATGCTATTTCAATAAACTACAACCCAACCATACGTAGATATTGAATAGATTTAGAGGGCTTAGCCATTATTTTCAAACGGAGCCAACTGGCTTTCATATCTAGTCCATGTCTCGAGGCTTGGGTGCTCAATGCGATCGGCTTGTGGTTTTTTCTCATGAAATATTGAGGCCGGGCGGGTGGTTGAAGTCGAGTCGTCGAAAAAAGGGACTGTTGGGGATGTTTTGGTGGTAGATTGTGACAGTGGTATGCTAGATTTTCGGTGATGAAACATGGAAAAGTAATATGAACACATGAGTAAACAACAACGGCAGAATACTAGATCAGAAGACCGTGAGAAATTGCAATCATAAGTTCTCAGTCACTGCTGCAGAAGACCGGAACAGATGTGGCCTTCGCATGCCTTCGCTGCAGGCAGAACATTCCAATCGACATGGTGACCAGCTCAGTATACCTGGATGTTTGGGGCTAACTTACTTGCAAGCTGCGCAAGCTGGGTCGCGAAACTCTATTGGGATGAGTCCAGACTGTGTCTGAGGAAAGGCTTGGAATGCTGCAAAACCCGAAGTTGACAGTCCAGCTTCTGAAAGTTACAAGAGCACATTTTGAATTCTTTCTAGAGACTCGCCTTCTCAGAATTGACGGAAACAATTACGGAACCTCCGTACTTTTAAGACCGCGACTTTTTTGCTGATCCCCTTGGCCTAGGCTTCCTTAGTGGAAGCCACTAGTGCCTGCAAAGAGCAGGAGCAATTGTGCCGACCTTGGGCGACGGGGTACTAACCACATCATGGATACCTGGATCTTCATATGGTACTTATTTCTGCCGTTGCTCAAAAACACTAGAATTTTTGCCGTTCTTGCCGAAAAATGCCGTTCCTGAAAAAAAAAAAATGCCGTTGTGAGAAATTGTCAGAGCACGTGGTCGGGTATTTTCGCCGTTTGGTCGGGTACTTTCGCCGTTTGGTCGGGCATTTTCGCCGCAGAAAAACGGGTTTGGCATCAATATATCAGAAGAAATTCTGGTCTGCCCAAAAAGGTCGTTTTTATGCAAAACCTATTTATTGAGCAAAAGGCAGAAATTAAGCCCCTTTTGAAGAGGCAGGTATGTGATATATGATTGAGAAAGGTTTTCCGATTGAGAAAGGTCTTCCGATATCTATCCATCCAATCCAATCCAACCGAATGTAATCTAATCTAATCTAATCTACAGTAGTCTAATATCTAACCTAATCTTATACTTATATATCTAATCTAATCTAATCTTATACTTATATCTAATCTAATCTCATCTATAATCATCTATCTACTCCGTCTAATCGATCTAATCTGATCTATCGATCTAATCGATCCCATCGATCTAATCCATCCTATCCATCCTATCGATCCAATGGATCCAATCTATCGAATCTATTCAAACTATTGCGCCTAACTTATATATCGATTATAATTATCCATCTAATTTATGTAATTTATCCAATCGATCTTATCGATATTGTTTAGCTTATCTATCTTATCGTATCCGTCCTATCCTGTCCTATCCTATCCCATACTATATTATTACATAGTATTCATCGACATACATAGTGATTCACAACCTACAAATAAAGGGTCTCATATTGTTTTGCAGCCTACAACCTTACTCCAACGATACAAATGAACGTATAGCCCCTTACTCGCAATATTAAATCACCCTTATGTGGGATTGCCCATGTTCCGATTGTTTGGTGCCTGCAGCTGTTGATGACTTTGCTCTGGAATCCAGGTACAGCAGTGCATTGACTGGTTTTGATGGAAGCGAAAAGCTGTAGACATTACCCATAGGATCCATGTATGCCATATATGGTAACATTTGGGGTATATTGATGGTAAATGTTACCATATATGGCATACATGGATCCTATGGGTTATTAATTATTGTCTCGGAAGGATTCGGAAGGCACAGAATGTGAAAAGGAACCAAACATTCCTTTTGACTTGATTGGAACCAGAATTTGTCCCACTGGAGTTGGGGGTTCCGAGGTTTGCAATCGCACGACAAATAATCCGAGAGAAAGATGCACGCTTGGTGTCAGGCCCGGCAGTTGCAGGAGCAAGGATTCCTTCCTTTTGTTTTTACGTTTACCGGCAAGGATACACAATATCATCACCTGACACAATGATGTTTCAGTAATCAATAACAACGAATCATACATACCCCTTAATGCAGATACTATAATATCTAATAATCAAAATACAATTCCATAATTATGATCCCAGAATTCCATAATTCCTTTGTAAAATTTAGTAAATACTATAATTAGTTCCATGAGGTTCTTCCACGATCCCAGGCCGCGAAGCTTCGGAGGAGCCTCGGATTCTTCGAAAAAGAGACGCTGGAATTTGAGGGTATCCGATCCATCATGATCCATCAGTAGTAGATAGCAACAATAGCGAATAAATCGAATAATGATAGATAATAAACATAGTATAGATAATAATAGATAATAATAGATAATAATAGATAATAATAGATAATAATAGATAATAATAGATAATAATAGATAATAATAGATAATAATAGATAATAATAGATAATAATAGATAATAATAGATAATAATAGATAATAATAATATTAATAGATGATAATAATAATAATACTGATAATAAAAATAATATATATATATGTATATTAATAGTATATAAGGATGATAATAATCATAGACAAAACAAAGTGATCAGAAAGAATTCTCAATTCCCATGACAGACCATCAATATGGAGATACTGTAATGACAAGTACTCTTGCCATTTTTTTTTACCATCAATACTAGCATGTCAAGTACGGGTTTTTGGTTGGTCCATTGTTCTGACAGATCCTTCCAGAGTTGAATCAATGCAGCTTTGCCGAAGAACTTCACTTGCGTTGGGCAACCTGTGAACCTATGCAGCCGGGGTGGTCCAAGATTTATAATTACATTCATTACATTCCAGCTTTGCGTGTGCTTGGCGGCGGGGCTTCTTCCACATGTGCATGTGTGTGTGTGCAGTTGGCCTTCAATTTGATTAAAGCACCATGATAGATATGCTCTTGTTGGACGTGTTAGGGATGAAGTATGTGATCCTAGACATTGAACTGAACGAGATGTCGTGAATTGGATGGCACATTTGACACTGTGGGCATCATATTTGTTGAAGTTGTATGTAGTTAATTGTAGTCAAGCAATATCAAAGATGCAATGGCTGACATTGGAGAGCCATTTGATTCCAAAGACTTCATCCCTTCACTGCGGCTCTTAGAGTCATGAAGTTGTTCAACACAGACACTGTTGCATGAATAAAGTTTCAAGAGTTTTTTTACAGAGACCGTATTCAAACGTTTGCGTAAACGCGTTCCAGAAAAAACATCATGGCCATGGTGACTCTGCTTGGAATCCTCTCATGACCTGCTATG